CTTGCTCAGGTGCTTGTCAATGGAAGAATTGTGACTTTTAACCATGATCATCTTTTGCAGTTTGCAATAATRGTTTTATACCCACATTCATTCATTTTACAACAGTATGGTCTTACCTATAGGTAGACAGTTAAAGCAGTCAGTAAACGTTTTCCATAGCTTTATATTGTATCTTCGTTTACATTCATCATAAAATCCATACATCCTGTTTTGAAGATAGAGTAKACAACATGGTGTTGATTTCCCTTAACTTATGCTATAAGTCAATCAATAGGGGTGGGGTGGGAGGGGGTTTGCTCAGCAGTTTCCTCAATACTAGTCTGTTTGAACATGTTTAATTTACTATMAGAAGTAATGCAGGTTGACCCCATAGGGAAGCACAGCAGTTGAGGCAAGTATATTCTACATTGTTAATACAACAGGTTCTTGGCACTCGCCATGTGTCCATCAAAAATAAATATTTTATTCTCTTTTTGAAAGAGCTGTTTCTATAAAAACGTGCTTGCTTTGACATAATTTTGAAAATGGTCAATTTCAGAATATACAAAATAAAGGATGCCAACCTTTAAATAACCATGACATATGATATCTTTACAAATATAATGTACAATTTGAATGTGCGAACTCTATGAACAACAATGTACAACTCAAGTTATATAAAACCGTTTTTTTCCTAAAATTTGCAATGTTTTATGTTGGCTTCACTTTCCCTTTTTTGCCCACTTGTTTATGTGGATCTTGGATTGCAACTTCAAGAGTTTGTGGCTGAAAAATATGAATTGACTGTTAGTTTGAATCAGCAATGCGACAGTCAGTGAGTCAGTCAGTGATTTATCTAGTCATTTAATGAGTCAGTTAGTTGAGCAGGGAGTCTGAGTCAGTAAATCAGTCAGTCAGTCAGGCAGTAAATGACTCACATATTTCTTTAATGAGTCAGTTAGTTGAGCAGGGAGTCAGTTAGTCAGTGAGACAGTCAGTCAGTGATTCACCTAGTCATTCAATACTTCATCACTCTTATCAACCATTTTCCAATCACCAGTCAGACACTGCATTTAGTTAGTAGGTGATTGTCTGGTCAGCCATTCAGTCAACCATTAGTCTACAGGTCAATCAGTCAGTCAAATGAATCAAGTATAGCTACAAATTATGTTACCTTCAAGATACTAAAAGAACATAGAAGGTTGTCAGATACACACATGATACCTCCAGCATTGTCAAATTCACCACAATAGTTTGGTGCGCTGAACAGAGTTACAAGCTGGGAAATGAAAAAAAGGAAGATTGTGACTTAAAAGAACTTTTATTTTGATTTAAAGGGACACTGTCAATGGATGACATGCGCAGTAACAGTCTCACCTCTAACGGACTTTGAAAGTATGCTTTTGACACACTTTGGAATATTCTAGATCTGTTTACGTTTACGATCTGATTTATGTCGCGCCAACTTGGAGTCATAAACTTGAAAACACTAGCCTAGTGTTTTCAAGTTTACTCGCGCATGTCATCCATTGACAGTGTCCCTTTAA